CTTTTCTCAACACTCCTCAGCGCTGAAAGTGAACACTCGATGCTGATTGGCTATTTTTTTTTTACCAACGGAGGCACGAGAGCTCCGCACTCCCCTGGCCTCCCCCTACCCTTCTCTATAGCAACAAATGCCTCGTTTATAATGGGTTTTATTGGTTTTGTCTCCTTGCGCCGGGACACTTGGCATCAACAGTATGGTAAGGGGCGTAACATTTCCGTCACACGCTTGAGGTATTCGGCCAATCACAACGCACTGGATAGCTGGCCAATCAGAGCACACCTCGCTTTTCAGAACGATGAGCTTTGTAAAAATCAACTCGTTTCAAAAAGGCGGGGCATAGAGGAGAAACAATAATGTACAGTATGTGGAAAATAATGTGTTTTTTAAACCTTAAACTGCATAAACACATTTCATTACACCAAATACACAAAATAATGTTCTTTTTAGCAACATCATATGACCCCTTTAATTTAACCTTGTTATTATTATTATTATTATCATCATCACAATAATACACATTTTATTCTAATACTTTTATTATTGTTGTTGTTTTTATACTCCCATAAAAACAGCATGTTAACATAAATATCATAATTTTCTTACTTTATAGTCGAATAAATCAAATGTATTCATTACATTTATTTAATTTAACCTAAAATAATATATGATTTATATTATAAAGAATAAACATAAAAGTAAAAAAGCAACAATACAAACATACACACTAATATTTTAGATGCAGGGTAAAAACCGAGCCTGAGTTAACAGCCTAGTCTAGTGTAATGTTAAATACAGTATGAATTATTTATTAAATATTTAATGATGTGTGTCACAGATGGACTGTGACTTATGACTTTTATTTTGGAAGGACTGCTAATGTGCATGTACATGCATGGACAAATTCCACCATTATCCACACTCACAATCTAAATGCCGCAAAATAACATCAGTTAGAGTAGATGTGTGGGTACTTTCCTGTTTATGCGGTGTAATATGCCCTTTGCTGCCCTCCATATTAGTGTAGTTGTTTTGTTTATATATTTTTTTCTTTTGTTGTTTGTTTTGTTTTCTGTTCATGTTTAATGTTTGTTATATGATGTAGCATTTAAAGAAAGCACACCAAACTCTTATGTATTTGGATTGTTTTATCTTGCTTTTACATTGCTGTTCACCTCTACAAGGTATGTTCTAAAAGTGGGTGGAGTCTTACTCTATAAAAGAGCTAATAATAAAAAAATGGAGTGTGTTGGAAACTGGTCGCTTGTTGTTGTATTTTTGGTCCGGGATATGGACATAGTCAAAAAAAAAATTATTTTTTTTTGTTGGCAGTGGTGGTTGGGGGGATGGGGGGAGTTATTCCATTGCAAAAAATTTTCCTCTTGTCACTGATTTTACACCTTCGACGCTGGTACACGCTAGTGATGCAAAGTCCGATTCATTTTCGCGAACCGGTACTTTTCGGACAGATTGGCTCATTGAACCGGTTCAAAAAGCCGATTCATCGGTTCCTGACGTCAGTAACGTCTCTACGCATTTCTTTTCTAACAACACAGTGCCATGTTGTATCAATGAAAAATTCAAACAAGTCATTTGTGTCAACGCATATTGAAACATTCAAAAATAAAGTTATTTGTGTGAAAGCATATTGCTGATTATTGCCATATAATTCACTTAAGTTAATGGTGTTTGTGGTCACAGTTTCATTCGGGATCCTCAGATACATACGACTGATTGACCAATATTGACTAGCCTACAACTTGGATAAGATTCTTAAAAGTTTCGCACCTACAGCACACATTACAGACATTGATGCACAAATGCGAATATGTTACATGTCTACCGTATAAAGAATGAATAAACCAGTCCTATAAACTCCTTAATTTCGCTTAAGCAACTTTAAATATAATATGCATGCACAATAAACTATTGTAAAATGTATTTACATCACTCGACAGAAAGGTTTTTGCAGGTTTTAATAAAATGTAAATTAATAACCATTTAATAAACATAATAAACAAGCATATTTCCAGTCCTGTGCGTCCTGCGTCATCAACCCGGAACTAAAGTTCGATTTGTGAACCGGCTCAACCGGTTACTTCCTGAGAACCGGCTCAACCGGCTACTTCCTGAGAACCGGCTCAACCGGCTACTTCCTGAGAACCCGCTCAAAAGAACGATTCGTTCAAGAACCTAACATCACTAGTACACACTAACAATGTGCATAAAGATTGATAAGCACCCTTTGTTCATTTATTGTTTATGTACATTTCAGATGCTCGGCCCTGGCAGCTTTTAGAGCCTGTCTATAGCTGGACATACTGTTTCATACCCATCAAATTTAGAAAATTAAATATTCATACGTGTGTGTGTGTGTTTCTGTTTTGATGTTCAGCAGGAGCATGTTCCAGAATTCTTGCCTGAAACTGTTAAGTCCATACCCCGAAGCTGGTCCCCGAAAGGCCAGTGGCCAAAGGCAGAAGACAAGGGTCAGTGATAGACTCACTGACACACCTGTAAAGAATGCCCTTGAAGAGGAAAAAAAAGTGTTCCCAAGTGGTCAAAAGGAAAATCATATTACAACAAAAAGAGGGTAGGAAAAAGCAAAAAAAAAAAAAAGACATATACAGAGGACACTCAATGTCTTGTCTGTGATGAATGGTTTTCAACATCCCAGCCAGGGGAACAATGGATCTCTTGCTCCATCTGTGGCATGTGGTCGCATGTAGAATGCACTGAGGGAGGCCTAAACTACATTTGCCACCACTGTAAGTGACAGAGGTGACTCAGTAAGTGCGTACCCTAGGTGACTGAATGGCCTTTGTTTTGTTTTTATGGTTTATTAGGCTATTGTTATTATGTTTTATTTATTATGTTTATTGTTATTATGTTTATTAGGTTTTTGTTTTCATTTGATCTGTTTTATTATTGCTGTTTGCAATTGTTCAATGTTTTTTACTGCTACTCAACTTTTCAACTGTTACTATAAAATGATGAACTGAAATAAAATATTGTGTTGCTGTTTGCCATTACTGTACAGTGTTTTACAAATGAACTATTTTTATCTAAACAAATAATCAAATCAAATACTGAATGGAAATAAAAACGGTTGAATTCTCATTTTTAAAGGTATTTTACATTTGCAATGACTTGGTTAGGCAGCTTTACAGCATTACGGATGGGTGTCTCAACTGTACCCCTCATGGGTACAGTTGGAACAAAAAAGCTTCTTGTGTTTATGAGCTAATTGTGGCAATTATGACCTACTTATGGATGTTAATAATTATTAATATTTTAGTAGACAAGTAAAGGAAATGTCATATGAAAAATCACTTATTTTCAGTCCCTAGTTTTGGTGTGGTAACGAAAAAAGCAAAAAGTGTACCAACTGTACCCGGTCTACCCATTACTGCTCTAACATAACACTGCATTTCCGTTTCATTAAAATTAACTTCTTTTCAGCTCAGTAGTGATTGTCTCTTTCACTTCCACTTGATTTGTGTATAGTGCATATTTAAGGTAACAATGCAATACATAATATCATATTATTAACATAACATAGTCAATATTGATTAAATGGGAGGGCGAAATCCTGCCCACACCCAGCTAGGAAAAAATGAT